ACGGCCGAGCAGCGGGCCCGCCGCCTGGACAAGGTCCGCCAGTACCAGATTCAGCGGAAGCGAAAGATGGGCGTGGCGGGGGCTGGGGCGGGGCCGAGCAACATCAACCCCTTTACCATCGTCAAATCCGAGGAAGATGAGGATGGTGAAAAACCAAAAGGAGGAGGAGGCGGTGGAGGTGGAAATAGCATTCTAATACGAACGCTCAAATCAGTGACCGAATCGAACAACCGTCTTCACCATCAGCCGACGATGACGATGACGATGACCAATGGTGGCAAGTCGAAGAAGGGAAAGAGGGGGCGTGTGATGAAGAAAGTGGAGGAACCACCACCGCTACCACCACCACCACCAGCGCCGGTGGTGGCTGCCGAAGAGATTCAGATCACGCCTCTCTTTGAGGAGCCCAGCTCGGAGGAGTTGCTGAAGATGATCAGGGAGTACGCCGAACAGGAGGCGGCGAATGAGCAGAATGGGCCGTCGATGGAGGTGATGGAGGTGAAGGTGACGGAGGTTGTTGATGGAGGTGATAGTGGTCCTGGTGGTGGTGACCAGGACCAAAACAGTCTAGCGATGAGCTCGGAGATTGTCTGAAAAGAAGAGTTTTCGTTGTTGTCGCGTCCCCAGAGTGATGAACTTTTTTCCCTATTCTCTCTTATGGCATTATAGCATTTCCTAAATAAGTCTTTATACCTTTATACCCAGCACTGATACTGTTCCACAAACAAATGAAGTACAAATGAATTCCCCTTCTCTCCCTCATACTCTTTTCCTTCTTTAGCCCTTCTGTTAGAAGTCCTAGCCTGTTGATGTTATTATGTTTTCTTATCGTTTACCACACACCCGCATACTTTGCTAGCATTTTACAATTCTGTAACACTGATACCACAAAATAAGCACGTTTGTATAACCTAGTATCTTAAAATAAAAAAAATATTTTTTGAAACGAAAACGGCGAGATATGAACAGTACTGCAATTCAAAAACTTGAAAATTCTCTTTCTCTAAAAAGATGTTCGTAACTTTGAGTCATTTTGACTACTAAAGTCAACTTTCTCAATTTTGATAAACAAAAACGCTAATACCCAAAAAATCCCTCAAAATTCCATCGCTCGTTTTCCTTCGCTTTCTTTCTTTCTTTCTTTCCCTCTCATTCGACACACTGCTGCACAGCTGTTGCTGCTGCTTCTGCTGTCACAGCAACGCAACCGACGACCGAGCACTACCCTAAGCATAGCCCGCGCTACCACTACCACAATAATCACCCTTAATTCACCACCCAAACATCTGATCACCACTTCTGAGCAGGAGTAATCACCACCACCACGCCTCTTCACTTCATTCCTTTCTGGACCTCTTCCGTTTTCTGTTCTTCTTCCCTGATTCGTTGAGTCAACGACAGAAGAAGCGCGCCTATTTCCACCCTGAGCGCCTTGTTTGGCGGCAGTGGTGAGCAGATTGGGTGGCCGCGGCGGCCGCCGTTGCTGTTGCTCTATTCCTCGCTCTCTTTCTTTCTTTCCTCATCGTTTTGCTTGCTGAACAGATTGGGCGCTCCGCTTCTTGGTGAAAAAAGCAGCGTGGTCACCGACGCTCACTTCCGCCCAAGAACTTTCGCTCACTGTCACCCCCTGCTCTTATCTTCACCCTAAGGTACTCGCTTTATCACCTCGCTTCACTTGAACGGTGTCTCTCTGTCTATCTGCCTACTTCTTCACATCACAACACACGTTCTCAACATACGTTCTTCCACCATTTCTACTAAACCGTTTGTTCTAAATCGTGTCGCCAACATCGACATTCCGAAATGGACGCCTTTGAGCTGATGCGGGCGGCGCCCGAGTTTGCCAGCTTCTTCACCTCCGGTGTGCCCATCTCCACTGATGGTGAAGGTGATGAGGAGGAGGAGGATGATCTTGAGCAGGAGCTGGAGCTAGGTCCCTTGAGGAAGAAGAAAAAGAAATCGGGTAACAATCCCGAGGCGATGATCGTCATCGGCCTGGACACTAGTTACGTCCAGTCATCATCGAGCGATGACTCATTCACGNCTGATGGTGAAGGTGATGAGGAGGAGGATGATCTTGAGCAGGAGCTGGAGCTAGGTCCCCTGAGGAAGAAGAAAAAGAAATCGGGTGACAATCCCGAGGCGATGATCGTCATCGGCCTGGACACTAGTTACGTCCAGTCATCATCGAGCGATGACTCATTCACCGCCTCCACGCCGACTACTCCTGTTCGTGCTAAAAAGACCATCAGCTCTAGCAGTCTGAACAAAGTGAAAAACAACAAGGCCAAAAACGTCCTCGACGAGATTGTGCAGAAGAACTGGAAGGTGCAGGAGGTGGATCCGTTCGCCATGGGCAGCGACATCCTCGAGGAGATGAACAAGATCGCCAGAGAGGACGCGGCGGCCAAGGCTGCCAAGGCTGCAGAGGGCAATGGTAGTCAGCAAAAAGAAGTGGCCATCTCTTCAGGAGGAATTCCTTCTTCAACTTCGACTTCGACTTCGACTTCGAAAAGCTCTGCAATGCCGTCGCCCATTGCTGCTTCTAAATCCGCTCCCTCAATCGTTGCCGCTAGCTCTTCAACCTCGACCTCAACCTCCAGCAATGCCACTACCACCACCACCACCACCCCCATCCCTCCTCCTCCTTACCATCACCACCCCTTCCCCAATCGCCGCCGACCACTGTCGAAGGAGCAGGCTGAGGAGAAGTCCCGCCGGCTGATGCTGCAGCTGGAGGCCATCGAGCACGCCTACACCACCGACGCCGTCACCATAGTCACGCCCAGTTTTAGTCCCGTCAAAGCAGGCCAGGCGGCGACGGCCACCTCCAGCAAAACTCAGGTCGTTCCCTCCTCAACCTCCTCCTCCTCTATTACCACTACCACAACTCCTCTTTCGCCGCCCATCGCCACGAGAATCATCCCCGAGCGACGGTCGGCCACCCGAGCCATCGCCAGCATCAAACAGGAGGCCATGAGCGAGAAGGCGATTGAGCGCTTTGTGAAGCAGAGCGGCGGTAAAAACGTGAACAGTTCAGCTCAACAGCAAAACGGGCTCGTCCTGGCCACGAAGTCCTCGGCGGCTAGGCAGTCGGCTCTGACTTCGGCGGTCAACATTGCCCTGCAGAAGAAGCCCACCACCGCTTCTTCAAAGACCGCCAAAGCCGCTTCAAAGGGCATTTCGAACACTACTTCAAAAGCATCTTTGCAAACATCGTCATCGCAAACATCTTCTCCATCATCACCATCACCACCACCAACAGCTAAGGGTTCCCTCCTCAAGGGTCGCCCTCGACGGTACGCCACCGAGGAGGAGCGCAAGGCGGCCATCGAGGCCGCGAAGGAGCGCTACAAGGACAATGAGACGCCGGAGCAGCGGGCGAAACGCCTGAAGCGCCTGAAGGTGCACCGGCTGATGGGCAAGGGCCGCTTCGAGGAGGCGCTGGAGTTTGCCGCCGAGGAGGGCCTCGTCCTCAGTGCCGCTCAACAGGAGCAGATTGCCGAGGCGCTGGACTCGAAGACCCGCGTTGTGCCGCCGCCTACTCGGAAGAAGAAATCATCGACTTCACCATCATCATCATCCTCATCTTCAACACCCTCAGCATCGAAAGACATTCAAATCATCTCGACGAAGAAGAAGGCGGCGGAAGCGGCGGAGGCGACTGATAAAGATGGAAAAAGCTCAAAGAAGCGAACTTTGGAGTCCTCGGAGAATGAGAACGAGGCTCCGAAGGAGGAGAAGAAGAAGGCGGTCACCTCCTACAGCCGCCTCTATCCGCCGAAGAAGCCCAAGGCGACGCATGCGTACTTTGGCGTGGACCGCGCCTGGGACCAGCTGGTGATTGCGCAGGAGGTGGCGAAGACGACGGTGACGCGCGCCGGGCGCCAGTGCAAGGCCAAGAACTGGAACGATTGAGGAGGTCCTCCTGGTGGCTGATAAAAACCTCCAATTGATAACGGGGATTTTGATGCATTTCTACTCTTCTTTTTATTTTTACTACTTTCCCTCGCACTTCACACGCTCTCTTTCTATTTCAGCTCTCTTCCTATTTTACCTAACTTACTTCAGCGGTTTCCTTTTACCATTTCCTTTTATCTCTCTCCCTCTCTCTCTCTCGGGCCAATCGATCTTCATACTCAGCAATCCTCTCTCTCTCCTTCTCGCCGCACCTTTATCTGCTCTCATTTGGCGACAAACGCGACAACAGCAAATCAACAAAATGTGATGACTCCTGCACTTTTCTTTTCTCTATTTCTCTCTCCCCCGCTCTTAACACACACTCACACACGCACACTTTTTGCCCAAGTTTACTTGCCTTTGCACACCCGTGACACCACCACCACCACCATACTCCTACTCCTCCTCGTTGTGTTTCATATGATATAACTATTTTTTTACCCTCCCCGTCAAACGTATTCAGCCGTGTTCAGTCTAATAAAACAATAAAATCAAAGTTCAAACATGATGTTCAAACT